GGGAGAAAGACGAGATTCTCTGCTGCTGTAAAGATTTAGTTTGGAAAACTTCTCCTCATCATATGGGGGAAATATGAGTTGGGGTCAACTTGGTGGTAGAGGGGTTTGTTTTGTTTTATTTTGGATACAACTTATTCATTCTACAGTGATAACATGGATGGACGATGGGCAATTCTGATATCTATAATCTCTCTTATTTCAGTAAGAGCTGTAATCACAGTTCCTAATAAAGTTTCTTTTATTTGTAGTTCAGAGAGAGAGAGACAGACAGACAGACCAATACTGTCTACTACAGTAGACTGTCTACTGTCTACTACAGTAGACTGTCTACTGTCTACTCCAACTCTTCCAGGCTCTTCACTGCATGGCACATTTTAGCTTCCCCACTCTACGCATCCATTTTCTCACTCCATCAGGATCTTTGTTCCCCACTTGGTCTACCAGAAGGTGAACAAGGCAGACAAGGCCTTTGTCCTCATGGAGCATACATGTTTGTGGGAAGATGTACAACTGCCACATAACAAATAACAGATGCACAAACAGAACTGCGCAGGACCTCTCTTGCTGCCCAGAGCAGAAGATGCAGAGGTCTGGAAGTACCTCGTGTTAAAGAGAACCCAGAACAACTGGTGATCGGGTGCCTCCTTGAATTCTCAACGATAGCTGAGCATTAGAGTCGCCTGGCAAATGACAAACACCGAAGCACCAGCATCCCCGCCATTGTAATGAGGACCAGTCCCCGAAGGGGAGGAACTGGTCCGTGTAAGAACAGAATAGAGAATGGAGTGAGGGGGTTGGAACTCGACCGCAGGTGGGAGGACCTAGAGCAGAGCAGGCCTGCAGCCACTAAGGTCAGTCTGATGACTTCTGCCAGTTGTGGTTGTCGCTGGTGGCCATCGAGTGGGCCCCAACTCATAGTGACCCAAAACACAGCCAAATGAACCCCTGCCCAGTCCTGTGCCATCCCCAGGATTAGTTGTGGAGCAAACCCTGGTGGTCTGTCAGGCTCATACTGGCTGGTTTTTAGAAGTAGACCGCCAGGCCTTTCTTCTGAGGCCGGAAGCCCCACTGAAGCCGACTGAGCATCCTAACATCATGCAGGCCTCCCTGGCAGTAGTACACTGGCTGGGGGCGGAACTTTTCCATAAGTTTGCATATTTTAAAATACTGTGTGCTTATCTAGACGATTCCAACATCACATTTCTTTCCTTCGATCCAAAGTCTTAAAGGTTCCCCCTTGAATGAGTTCTCCCATCCCGCTCAAACATCTTTACATTCCAGCATATATATTTATAGTGATGCAAACTTACTGTTTGGCCTTATTGATTTTCCTACTTGATAGTATGCCAGAGCCTCCCTCTTTAAATAAATTATGCTAAATTCATACCATGGTATCATCAAAAACCACACTGCTGCTCTCCGGCGGCTGACAGGAGAGGCATCCACTGTGGCGCAGGGGGAATAGTGGATTATATAACAAAATATGAACAGTATCCCATTTTCAATTAAATATGACTCAGTGTTTGTATCTTTTCATACTGGACAAGGTAGAGCAGATATTGTTATGGGTTAAATTGCATGTCCCTCCCTGCAAACGATGTGTGGAAGTCCTGTCCTAGCCCCTGTGCATGCAAATGCGGCCTGGTTTAAAGAGTTTCTCTCTGAAGATAGAATCAGTTTCGTTAGGGAGGTCAGACTGGACTAGAGTAGGCCCCCATCCCTTCCAAGTGGTGTCTTCCAAACGGGGAGAACAGACATGGACACTGTCCCACTGGGAGAGGACACGCCGTGTGGAGATGCAGCTAGACACCAAGGACTGCCATGGGGCCCAGGGCTACAAGGCTGGAAATGCTAAGGGAGGGGCCCCCTGTGGAGCTGGGGGAGCACAGAGCTGCCGTCTGTCTGTGCCCTGCATCTGCAGACCCCAAGACTGACTGTTCACGCCTGTTCTCCAGAGTTTGTTAGGCAGCATTTTGGAAGTGAAAGCAGACAGGCACCCAAATATTAACCAGGGTGGAATCACTGGGTGTCCCCCTCCCCACCCTTTCCTGGCTATTTTTCAAATTTCCTTATCTTAAAACCATGGGAAAAAATTTTTTTTTAATTTTAAGGATGAAAACACACAGGACAAAAGAGTGACATTGGCTTGTGACAGGTGATGGCATTTGTTAAGTTCTTCTCTGTACTTACTGTGTGCGCCTCCAGTTCTGAGAAAAAGACGGGGACGACCAGCAAAAAGCACGACTTCAGTTCAAACACACGCTCCATCAACAGGCGAGTGAAAAAGCACCACTCCTCACGTTGGGCGGCTCTGACTCAGAGCGACCCAGTGGGACAGAGCAGAGCTGTGCTGGACGGCCTCCCAGAGGACCATCTCGATGGAAACAGGTCATCAGGCTTTTCTCTAGAGGAGCCACTGGTGGGTTTGAACTGCCAGCTTTTTGGTTAGAAGCCGAGCACTTAGGCACTCTGCCATCAGCACACGTACACATTGGTAGACACCATGTTTCCAAAATGATGGGTTATTCTTGGTGTCTTACAGTTTTTAAAAAGAGACCAGCAGGGGATAGGGAGTGTAAAAAGAGGAGCTGATACCAAGGGCTCAAATAGAAAGTAAATGTTTTGAAAATGATGATGGCAACATATGTACCAATATGCTTAATACAACTGATGCATGGATTGATTGTGATAAGAGCTGTAAGAGCCCCCAGTAAAATGATCTTAAAAATAAAAAGAGAGAGCTGTCCCTGGAAAGTGACACTGGCAGTGGCCAGGTGAACTGGACCACCTCCTCCCTGTCAACCCCAAAGCAGAACTATGATACTTATTCAGCTGTTTCTGCCTTAGACAAATGGAGATCCATGCAGACCTGGAAGACCTTGGATCGGGCGTTCCTCGAAATCACCTAGGGGCTGGGGGTCAAGCAACTGACCTTTTTGTTCTTGTTTGGCCCAGAACATCTTGACTCGCTGGCGAATGTGCTTGTCTTCACGTAACTTCTTCTGCCACTGACGCAACTCTTGGATCTCAGGATCGCAGCGAACCTGCAAAACGTCCAGGGAACTTCAGGTCCTTTCCCACCCCTCCCTGCCCACTGCCCACTCACCCGCATGGGCATCCTTGACAGGCCAACTTAGATGATACAAGGATCCTGGTTGCATAAGAGTCACTCAGGCCCCTCTGAGGGCCAACGAGCCTGTGGGATGTCTGGCTACATCAACAGCAGGCCAACAACAATCTACGTATGAGCTGCCTGATGAAACTATAAAGCCACCACAAATGCCATCCTCCGTTTCCCTGCAGGCTCATTTAAAAAGGTGGGAAGAGGTGTTATTATTTTTAAGATAGTTTCATAGTTCCAATACACAGTAGCCATGGTGGCACAGTGGTTATGCGTTGGGCTGCGATCCGTATGGTCAGCAGTTCAAAACCACCAGCAGCTCCTCAGGAGAAAGTCTATAACTTTACAGACTGGGCTTTCTGCTCCTGTAAAGTTATAGACTTGGTAACCCACAGGGGGTCACTTTGAGTCAGCAGTGATTCCATGGCAGGGGGTATCTAAAATATGATCATTTCAACATTATTTGGGTGAGGTTTTCCTTTCTCTTCCATCCAAGAAATATTCAAGCCCAAGCCTCCTTCCATCAAGGTCAATTTCAATTCCTGGGGACCCTACAGAGGTTTTCTGGGACCAAGGCAGGGTAGTCATGCCTTTCTCTCACAGAGCAGAGGTCTGAACCGCTGGCCTTGCAGTCAGCAGTCCACACTTAACAACAGCACAACCAGGGCTCTTGGAAATCTGTTGTGCGGTGTGCAACTGACTGCACACCTCAGTCTGGACTAGTGGCTTTAGTGTGCTCCACAGTCACATACAGCTGGTGGCCACAGTATTTGTTGGTGAGGTTCTAGATTGCTCACAGCTAATGGACAAGCCAGGGTTCAGTGTGACACCCACTGACCAAGTGTATGCTACAGACTGGGCTCCGTGCTAGCCTTTGGGAGTAAAGAGGTGATTAAGGATCAGTGGAATGATTACTTTATGGTTGATCTTTATGACGACTCCACATTTGTTGAGCATACTTACGATGTTCCAAGCATTGTGTAAGTGCACTGCAAATTCGAATCCTCAAAGTGACCTAATAAGGCAGGAGTTACTGTTCTTATTTCACAGAGGAAGGAACTGAGAGCTTAAGAAACTTGTCAAGCCACTCAGGTAGGATCTGGGATTCAAATTTCAGCAGACTGATCCCAGTTACCCTTCAAGGACCTAGATTCTTGCTAGAAGCATGGGGGATCCAGGAAGAAAGTCAAATAAAGCATGGTATGAGTGAGGACATCCAGGTGCCATGGGAACGCAGGAGACATCTTACTGGGTCAGGAGGGGTCAAGAATACCCCCTAGAGCCGTGGTTCTCAACCTTCCTAATATAGTTCATGTTGTGGCGACTCCCCAACCATAAAATTATTTTCGTTGCTACTTTATCACTGTCATTTTGCTACTGTTAGGAATTGGGTGACCCCTGAGAAAGAAAGGGTCATTCGACCCTCAAAGGAGTCGCGACCCACACGTTGAGAACTGCTGCCCTAGAGGAAGTGAAGCTGGCTGGAGTCTGGAGGATGAAGGGGGGTGGAGGGTGACAGTGTGCCAGCCTGGGCACAGGCTTGAGGTGCAAAACAGACGTGGGTGCTCAGGCCCAGAATCACCACCTTCGCCCTGCCTGTTTGCACTGGCTGGAGGCACTGCTCTGGCCAAGCAGGCTCCACCGCTGGACGTGACTTTAAAGCCTCTGAAGAAAGCCAGGAGGCATCCTGGCGAATGAAGGTCACCTTTTCCAAACATGTGCCCATGAAAATGGTTCCCTGACTCAGCTCCTCAGATGGACTATTAACTGTAGCTACTTTGGAGTTTTCCTTAGTTCATCTGCCATTCCTCTAAAAGGAACCCTGGGGGGCCTGTTGCATAAGCATTGGACTGCTAGGTCTGCGGTTCAAATCCACCAGCTGGTCCCCAGGAGAAAGAAGAGGCTGTCGGCTCCCATGAAGATTTTACAGGCTCAGAAACCCTATCTAGAGTTGCTATGAGTCAGAATGACCGGATGACATGTTTTGGGTGGGTACGCATCTGAAACGTGGCAGAAGCTTGATATCGCAGTGAGCCTGTGTAACTGGAGAGATCGCAAGCCCCAGGCCCGGAGCAGTGGCCCTTTCTAGGAAGGGATCCAATGTGCCCAAAGGGGAGAGCTGGCCTGATGGCTTGTCCTGCTGCCCTCCTGTGGCCTCAGATGCCAGGAGGGATGGACAGACTGAAGCAGAAATGGAAAGCTCACATCCTGCAGGTGCAGCATCGGTGGAGGGCCAGAGTGGTGGCAAATGAGAGCGAACACGCTGGTTTGAAAGGCCAGCCACCCTCTGGCTCTCAGCAGCCGCGAGGCAGGGCTAACCCCTCTGCTATCGCAGACCATCCTAGGGAACATTAAACTCCATATTCTGGCATTGGGATCTTGGTTTCCCATGTAGTCACTGCAGTCTTGGAGGGAGCCCAAGCCTAACACCCCAAGGTTGAATGTTGAGAGTCACCCACATAGCTCCCTCCCTCCCAGGACTCAACTAGAGACCCCAGAGGGCTGGGTTGAGCAGGGCTTCACTGCCTGTTGGTGGCTCTCCTGCCAAGAGAGGGCCCACCTTCCTCCTCCCCCTCATAAGGCCCTTCCCTCCTGTAGGGAGCACCCCTCATGCAGTCTTACAACCGGGAACCTTGACATTAGTGCTGGGCTAACCTCAACCCCCTCTCTCCCAGAAAGTTTGGACCAGCCTGTTGGGGAGGCTTACAATGCGTACATATTGTTCTCCGAATACAGCAGTGCTTCCGTATTGGATAACAAGCGGCCGAGAGACAAACGAGCAAAAACATCTGAAGCATTTCCCCTGGAATTGACTCTCAAGCCTTTAATATGCGATGAGCCAACTCCCAGCTCCCTGTCATCATTCCGGAAGCCTGTGCTTGCTCACAGGTGCCTGCTTCGGGAGACTTGCCTCTCTGGCCAGAGAGGCCTCTGTCTTTTCCTGTATTCCCTTTCCTTTCCAAACAAGGCTGGCTGCTCACCCAGGGAGCATAGAGCAGCCCTGCGAATCGGCTGGGAGTAGCTTCTCGTTACCAGGAACGTCTGGATCCCTGGAGAAGGCTTTTGTTAGCCCAGGGGAGAGCAGGCACCCATTGTGCCAGGCTAATCCTGGGCATTATGACCAGGATTAAGGGAATCCATTTAAATGGCAACTTTTCATACCAATCCGGGAATTCCACAGAGTCCAGTGCTATGCTGACACCACACAAAGTGAAGGCCATCTCGGCCTCTTACTTTCACTTCCTTAAAAGCGTGGTTTGCCTGTTCTTCCCCAAAAGGCACACGAGGCATTATATATTTACTGTGTCCTTGACTTTGGGGTACAGCCAGACAAAAAAGTCCTTTATGGAGATATGAATTTTTTTTGGTAAATATCTATGAGACCATCAAGTTCAAGCACAATCATATAATGATAGGAGGGTAGGTTTTAAAAGTCCATAGAAATCTTTATTAAATAAAAATATCAAAATGTGAAGCTATTGTTTCTTAACATATCACCCACCTAGGTCTATACAGTGCTTCTATCTCTTACTCTTCCCTAAAGAATTCTGCCTCTTTGACTCATACCATGTCAAAAAGGCAGGGAGGGGGAGGTGCATCCTTGGGGGACTCAAGTCATGGGCCCTGGAAATGCTGAGTCTGGAGAACAAAAGGTCTGAAGAGGCAAGGTCCGGGCCGCCGGCGGGCAGGGTAAGGTTTCCCCACCGCATCTTCCTAGGGCAGCCCTTGCTGTACTCAGAGAAGATGCATTGTCATGACGGAAAAACAACTGCAGCACAATTTTCCTAGCCCCTTTTAAAAAAACCAATGCAGTTTTCCGTTGTCTTAAAATGTCTTCCTAATAAGCCCCTGTGATCATCCCATGTTCTTTGAGGAAAAAGGGAATCCCAAGTCACCGTGATCTTCTGAACAGACCTTTCTGCCTCGAATCGAACTGTGCCACCCCCCCCAAGCCCCCCGCCCCGCAAGCCACTGTTTGGATTGGACTTGTTTTGAAGGCTCTTGAACGAGACTAAGACAAGTGCATTATGGGAGATTCTATCTGCAGCCATCCATTGATTGAAGAGACAAGTTTAAACAGGCTTTGTTTGGAACAAGTCGGAGGGGGCTGCAGAAGGTGTGGGGAGATTCTGCATATTTTCCTTGCATTTTCCCACACTTTCTGAAGCCCCCGGGTATAGACAGGGCCCCGAGTTGCAATGCTTTTCACTCACCCTCTCATATTACTCTGAACCATCCGGGGAAACCATACTGGTTATGGAAGCCAACTCTCGATCAGACAGCCTGAGTCTTGGCTCTGCAGATCATGAGCCGAGGAACCTTAAACAAGCTAATTAAGCTCTGAGTCTCAATTTTTTTCATCTGTCAGATGGGTCATAGGCATGTTTCCATCATTATGGTGGTGTGGAACCACACAGACATGATACACTTGGAGTGTAAACACACATAGTAAGCTCTCACTGCACTAGAAATATCCTAAATGAATTTTAAAATGAATCCGAGTGATCTGCATCACCCGAGAGGGAAGCCGGCCCATAGTACCCTGAGCCAAGGAGCTGAGGGGCCAATGATGGATACAATAGAAAGCAAGGCCTCTTCCCAAGGGTTTACAAAGGAGCCTGCAGAAGCTAGGAACTGTGTAGGGTGGAAACCTGTCAGAGATGGAAAACTCAAATAGGTTCCATTAAAGGGGCTGATGGTGCGTGGTGAGATGCACCTTGTCAAAGGATGGACACCATCGAGATCTGGAGAAACAAGTCATCCATTACCAATTTTTATTGTTTTTTAACTTGAGGATGGGAGAGGGCTATGGGGGCTGGGAAGTGGTGGAGGCAAAGATGGCTTGGGAGAGTGTCCCCTGTGAGGCTGAAATTACCCTTCACGGAGCTACCTCACCTTTCCCCCTGGGCTCGGACAGTGGGG